ATAATTTGCAGTAAACATAATTTGCAGTAGACATAATAATTTGCAGTAAACATAATTTGCAGTAGACATAATTTGCAGTAGACATAATTTGCAGTAGACATAATTTGCAGTGGACATAACTTGCAGTAGACATAATTTGCAGTAGACATAATTTGCAGTGGACAGAGGATGAAAATATTTGAACCCATATGACTGGCATGGGATATGAAATTCCAGAGCAATTTGTCCTTTTGAGAAAGTTTAACGAACATCAAAAAAAACTGTCGCGCCGGCACTTGACTAGGCGACCGAACTTGAATAAACAATAAATTTACCAGGAAAATGCATAATTTATTAATAGTGATAAAACTCATATATTTAATTCACAAAAAAATAACCAAAACCTACTGAGCTCCACCAACTGCGCTCACTGGCGAAGTCCACATACCGCACTCTGAGAAATGTGTTAGACTTTGTCCAAATATCGATACTTTTTCTACCCTTGTGAGTGTCATTCTGGCCGAATTTTGATCGGCAGAAGGTCGTATCAGTGCAGAAAGTGTCACGATTTGGACAGTTTGTCCCATTCATTCTTCTGAGTGCGTAGTAGAGTGGTTCCCAAACCGGATGGTAAATTAACTTAGGTAGTAAAGTACCAATTTTCTAGGGTAGGTATTTAAAATTCAAATATAATTCCCAACAACAATAAATAAACGAAAAAATTTGTAACTAGGAGGGTAATAAACGAAAAATTAGTATTTAGGAGGGTAACGTGCGTTTATGGCATCTTAAATTGGGCAAAAACTTAAAAAGTTTTGAAGTTGCTGCAGTGAAGCTAATGATTGCAGAAAATTTTATGAGATCGTATGATAATTAGAGGTCAGTCTTATGAAGGAGTAAATTGAGGTTTGAAGGAGATCAGTAGCAGCGCTACGAAATTAACGAGATTTTTTTTCAGAAAATCAAATCTTTAAGTAAAAACTTCGTACTTCTTCTAAGCATCATATACTAAGGATTACAGAACTTTGGTACGCAAACACTTCCTGAGTCAAGAACGATAATAATTCAAGTATTTTACGCTTACAAAAAGATTAACAGCAATCCCTCATCAATCGCGGGTTTTACGTTCCTGAGTTCGAAAAGTGAAATCCGCGATGGAGAATTGTACCAATAATAGCACTCAAGTATTTGTATTGTAATAGTTACGTAAGTTTACATTGCTTCATGTTATAACAAAGCCTTCCTACAATTTCACTGCCGATCAAGTTTGGCAGGATTTTTAGATCTGTCGGTCAATTTCTTCCGCAACCAGGGAAGATTTACGTAGGATTTCTCCATTGATATTCTGATATTTATAGCAAACCCGCGATGAAGTGAAGCCGCGGTAGATGAAGTGCGATATAACGTAGGATCATTGAACTGCCCAACGCGCAGTAAAAAGACGATACTTTACAACTGCTATCCAAGCGATCCACCGTTTAAATTCAAACAGTGAACGTACTCAATGCGTCAATTATTAGTGCATTACGTGAAATAAAATGCTAGTAATGCTACATATTAGCGACTAAAATGCCTTGATGCTACGCGGGTACCGCACTTAACTACCCAAGTGACATGGCACTACAACATATTTGGGAAATCCTGCTTTACAGCAAGCGGAAATACGATCTAAATGTAGTTTTAAATAATTCTGCTCTACCGTCACTGCTGATAACGCTGTCACGGCACTTATTTACGATTTACGGCACTTAGTCTTCAATATTTATGATTTATTAGCTGAACAAAACTGAACACATCTTTGTATTACGATCATAACAGCTTCGTAGTTATCATGTGGTTCTCGAACCCTACAAATCGTAGTTCTGATCAGAATTATAAGGTTTTTAATGACGGGTGGCGAGGTAAGTGCTGTATCAGCTGACTGGCGACTAATGCGTCATGCGTCATTGGACGGTAGAACTTCTCTGACTTTGTGTTCCATTTATGATACGATCGTTGCAAAATCGATAATTCGAGGAACAGGAATGGAAAAAGAGAAGAAATTATAGCAGCGCAAAACGTGTACCGAAATGATCTTCGCGAATTTCCGACGCATCGCCGTATTTTGGTATTTGCTCAACTCGGGGAAAATGATAGTTTTCTTGTCATTGTTTACAGTTGAGTAGAAATCGTTAAAATTTTGACTGCTGTAAAACACTAACGCTGGACTTGAGTATCATCCAAAATCCTTTCGACAACAAATATGTACACAGAAATAATTAACTCAAGTCAAGACTCACTTAAGAGATTTATGCCTTACCACTATCAGAAGCACTTGAAGCTGTCTGCGACCAATTCACCGGCTGTCCTTAATTGGGCTCACTAACCATAATTGTCTCATTAGAATTCATTCGAAATTCACTTCTCACATGAAAGCAATCACTGCATTAGTCGATGATGCACTCAATGCCTCTACTTGATTTGAAAAATAGAGCATGCGGCATTCTTATTGGCTTTATTTTTTATACTATCAATCTATCCACAGAAACGGACTTCGCGACAACATGTTGATGCAACAAACACATACACACCTCCTCTACTGAGCTCCAGGCGAGCACTGAGCGCGAGGAGGTTGTGGTTGTCTACTGTGTACTGTCTAGTGTTGTCCGCAGTGGCGTTCATTAACTAGTCGAATAACTTCCGGAAATGCTATAGAAAAATACAAATCCTTGATAAACTCGAACAGTGTAAAGAGAGTAGCTTAATTTTTTAAAGTTTAAGCAAAGATACTTTAAAGGATACGGCAACATGAAGGATGAGGTTCAAAGTTTCCTTATCATTAATGTTAAATTATGTCTTAATTATACGTTTAACATCATTCATAGCATTTATTCAATCTGTTATCAGATTGAATTAATGTTCTAGTATTAATTAATGAATTGCATTTAATTAATGTAATATAGACAAATTTTATTGTTCAAAATACATTCCTGGACGTTTCTTGAATATGAACTTATATATGCAGGATATTGATGATTGTTTGCCAAACAATTGCAACTGCAGTGTTGCCAAACGACTGTTGTGTCGCATGGACGAGTTGGATGCAGCAGTGTTGCCATACAAGGGGAGGAATTACCTGCAGGCGGGACAATTAAAACACCTGGGAATGCGGGAGGAATGTGGATGCTATGCTATATTGGGGAGTGAGGGATAATTGTAAATTAAAAGAACTAAAGGAGCTAGCAGAAGTAATGCGAAAATAGACGATGATGGATAGCCTCTGATAAAATGTGTGCGACAGAGTTACGAATTGCGACTAGAGTGAATAAGAACTGCGACTAGAGTGAATAAGAACTGCGACTAGAGTGAATAAGAACTGCGACTAGAGTGAATAAGAACTGCGACTAGAGTGAATAAGAACTGTGACTAGAGTGAATAAGAACTGTGACTAGAGTGAATAAGAACTGTGACTAGAGTGAATAAGAACTACATTTTGAAGAAATTGTTCATGATTTTACTGCTTGATAAGAAAAACTTCAATCCGTGTATAATAAAATCTTCACGGGAAGAACAATGCATACATAATTTTTAATTCGAAGGCGATGACATGCTCTCAAGTCGATGCCTGTGAGCAAATAATACTTTAAAAATTTTCATTATCTATAAAACTGAAAACATTATTAAAATACCTAACAATAAATGCAGTCGCCGCATACTAACAGCTTCCGCAGCCAATTACTAGAATTTGTATTTTATTCCTAAAATGTAGAATTATTTACATTATATCTTAATTGAAGAGTTAATAATAAGCAAGATATATAATGCCTCGTTTGAACGTAATGCCGGGCTGCTAATAACAAACAGTGCTTCTCAGTCTGGTTATTTAGCGTGGGAAAGCGAGCATTTATGCGATGCAAAAAGAACTAATTAAGAAATCTTTGACGTGCCCGAATGTGTACAATTTTACGAACTCGCGTGCGGACTCGCCCGTAAAATTGTCTGCGGATCGCTCGTGAACTCGTCTGCGGACTCAAACTCGCCTGCGCTAATTGTTTAAACAAAACTCCATCAATTATGAATAGATCTGCTTTAATTTCAGAATGTAACTAGTTAATAAAAATGCGACAATAGAGAAATTACTGATGAGTCCGCAGGCGAGTTGACAGGCGAGTTCGTAAAGTGTCGATATAGTGTACACCACCAGCACAAAGAGAGGCCCGCAAGTGACACTAGTGGTTCGGCAACTAACGGCCAAGCGTCTTAATTTGAGCTATCTATCCATTTAATTCATTTACTTTACCTATTTGTTGCGTTAGCAGAGCTACACATGTACATATTAAATATTACATTGTTGTGACGCGTTGTTAATGCGCCTCATGACACACTAACTTTCACTTAAATACCGTAATTAGTTCTAATTATTTTAAAAAACACTTATATTATATTGACTATTTAGTAATTTCTATTGGGTTGATTGTACTGCTTTAAATTAAATACATGCTACCTTATTATCTACAATATGTTACTCGAATATGTAGTAACATATTGTAGGGCATGTAAATATTTATTATTTTCGACTATTTAGTAATTTCTACTGGGTGGATTGTATTGCGTTAAAAGTAGTAATAATTCGATACATGCTACCTTATTATCTACAATATGTTACTTGATTATGTAGTAACATATTGTAAGGCACGTAAATATTTATTATTTTTGACTATTTAGTAATTTCGACTGGGTGGATTGTCCTGTGTTCAATTAAATACATGCTACTTTATTATCTACAATATGTTACTCGAATATGTAGTACATATTGTCGGGCAAGTAAATTCTTATTTTTTTATTATTTAGTAATAGAACATATTATAGGGCATGTAAATTTTTGTTTTTTTCTTTATTATTTAGTAATTTCGACTAAATTCTTATTTTTGTATTATTTAGTAATTTCGACTAAATTCTTATTTTTTTTATTATTTAGTAATTTCGACTAAATTCTTATTTTTTTATTATTTAATAATTTCGACTAAATTCTTATTTTTTTATTATTTAGTAATTTCAACGAAATGAAGATAGTTCCCCGCGGCGACGGCCATCTTGCCCTGCGCTGACCCCCGTCCTGGTGCGGCCTTCAGAGACCACACGGGGTAACGCAGCCCCCGCAGCACACCCACCGTCTGGGGGGCGAATAAATAATATAATTGATTAACTATCAAGAAAATTTGTAATGGAATAGATTAATTCTGGGGGACGAATAATTGATAAACTATTTAAAAATTTATAATGGAAAAGATTGAAGAAATATTTACAATGGGAGGTAATTTAAAATTTGTAAAAAAATTAGCTTTAATGTACGAGTTGATAAACCATCAAGAAAAATTACAATGGAATAGGTTATTGATATGTTTACAATGGGAGGTAATTTAAAATTGGTAAAAAAATTAACTTTAATGTAAGAGTTGATAAACTATCAAGGAAAATTGCATTGGAATTGATCAATTAAATATCTACAATTGGAGGTAATTTAGAATTTGTAAAAAAAAATAACTTAAATGTTGTCTTTGAATTTTTAAATTGAAGGTCATTTCAATCATACATAATTTTTATATTTGATTAAATTTAACTTATTTAAAATTATAACCCCATCTAACATAGATTTTGTTATTAACGCGTCACTTTTAATAAGAAATTATGCTTTAATCAGATAAATAATAATTACAGATGTTTTTATTGCAGATTATAGATTAATTATTACAGATTATGTTTTCAATGCAACATTTAAATCAAATAATAATATAGAAAACTAACTAAGATTACTTTTTACATTCCTAAAGTAAATTTCAACATATTTATCTTATTATCTTGCTAAAATGGCAATTTAACCATCAATTTCAAAGCAAATAAATCGTTAAGTAAATTAAGAATATTTTCATTGAAAACATTTAAGAATCGTCGGCCAATTTTACCAATAAAAAATGTTGCTGAAATAGCGAAGAGGCCTGCACCATTCGCCTTTTCATCTAAGTTCGACTTGAAACATTCATAACTAAATCTATTATAGAGCTGGAAGCAAAAAACAGTTCAATAAGTTGATATTGGAGGCCTGCACCAGCATAGTTAAGCGGTGCCCTGACCCATCGAGACTGGCGAAATTATTATCAGAGTAATTTTAAGCTTATATTTTAAACTGTATCCACTACGTATACCATTGATATGTACTACTGTCATTTCCGAAAATTCAATTTCAATTTTTGCGAAACCTTCACCTGCTTGATAATGAAAATTGTATTTTCGAAACGTCCCATTCCATTAAAATGTCATTTGGTTACCTGCTTTTTGATCTCGAAAGAAAGTTAACGAAAGTTTTCAGACTCGTGTGTTTCGTAAAAAGACTTTCACAGGTTTCGGTGCGAGCTTCTTCAACATTTGTTTCAATACATTCAAAATAATAAATATTCATATATTGCTACGTCAGGATTATGGAATTTATTCCTTGCTATGCATTCCGACTTTGAATTTCTTCGTAATATGTTTTTTTCGATTTTCGTTGAATATTGTGTTGATACAAATAATTATTTATATTTAAACGAATTTCTGGAGTTTTTGGGTGTTAAAATTATGAAAATTAATTGATTATGTTCATCACTGTTAATTGATATTGATTGATTGATTGCTAATTGAAAATTAATTGTTTATGTTTATTATGTCTAGCTGCTTGATTGAATAATTTCTAATTTAATTAAACAGATTTTAAATTATTCAAATCATTTTAAATTCAATCAAATCATTTTTAAATTATTTCAGTTTTTAAAGTGATTCAATATTTTTATGTGTATGCAATAATTCGTAAACCAATTCCACAATTTTAAAATAATAATTAATTTTGAAATAAATAATACTTTAAAAATTAATCAAATAAATTTCAAACTATTAATGAACGGTAACTTCGATAAATTCATTGGAGTTCGTAAGCAGTGACCTGGTCGTCGCAGGTGCAGCCCCTGACGAGGTTCTCCTCGGCTCCCCCGTACCCTATGACCTCCTTAGTCAGCCACGCCGCACTCAGCACCTGGTCGCAATATATATAACCTTCATACATGTTTCAATGTATAGCACCTGATCATAATATATATAAGCTTCATACATGTTTTAATGTATAGCACCTGGTCGCAATATATACAAGCTTCATACATGCTTTAATGAATAGCACCTGTTCACAATACACATAAGCTTCACACATGTTTTAATGTATAGCACCTGATCGCAATATATATAAGCTTCATACATGTTCTAACGCATACATCACTAATTCATATCTAGTCTTGATAATTATGAAGAGTTGTGTGAGACTTATATTATATTATATTATATTATATTATATTATATTATATTATATNTCTCATTATTATTATTATTATATATTATTATTTATAATATGTATCATATATAATAATATATAATATTATTATATATGGTAATAATACAATTATATTACATATTATTATATTAGCTTTATCCTACACGTCACCTTATCCTGCGCAGGATGGACGTGCAAGGCGTCGCCGCGCACGCCTGAGCCTGGTATCCTGCGCACGATGTCCCCGGTCCGCGCATCCCACCACCAGACCGCCGCCCCGCCGCCGATGATGGACGGTCCGCCGCCCGTCACGGTGGCCACTCGGCCGAACCCCAACAGACCCTGGCCGCCGAGCCTGCGACCAATATTGTTCTCATATAGTTTCATTTTAAAAACATTATTATATATGTCCGAGAGTAACCCAAACAAAATTTAGAGCCGAGGGCGGCTCTGGATTAAGGAACGCTTAGGACTCGGGGAGCATATAGTCCACCATATGCTTCCCTATTGTCCGCTTTTCGGTCTACATTCCGGTCCCGTAATCAGACAGCTACCAGAGCCAGGTACTTATTCTGCCAACTCTTGCTCTACTCTCAGGAGACTATAAAGTCGGCCAGCAGGTTCTGACTAGTCGCTGATTGCGATCAGTTGGCCAACTGACCCAGAATAACTCCTACGCGAACATAGCAACTCTGGGGCGGAGGCTGAAATTTAACATACCGCGAATTTTATTAGGCTATTTGTGCATACAAATCCTCATGTGTTTACAAGCAGACCGAGTTAGTTGAGTCCACGGTGTCACTGGGAGCTTGCTTTAGACGCTTAGTGGACATATTATTCAGCACTTGTGTCACGAGGACAAGAACCCGGTGGGGCGGAAGTACGAAGCCTATATAAGGGCTGGGAACCTTAGTAATGCACCCGCAGTAGTTGATAAGCGCTCCACCATGTTAAGCGTCGGTTTAGTTCTCCGAACTTACGGTCGACCCCGTTGCTTATAGCTCTGGGCCTATACTTTCAAAAAAAGTTAAGAGATCGTAAGTTCATCAGACAATCATTGACGGTCTTTCAAGCAAAATCTACCAATAATAGATAAGAAAATAGAGAGTAAGAACTTACCTTCACTTAACGAGTTTTGAAAGTATGGCCCACTGTATCGTAACTCATGTATAACCACCCCGTATATAAGATATGTTATCTAGACAGATGAGTCTTACTTACACCTTCACGACTTTAGTCACGTATCCCGATCCTCAGATAGCGGTTAATCAGTATGGGATGACATTTTATTATCTCGTATTTGGTACGTGTGTTTTAGTTCTCAGGATTCGTTTTACGTTGCTTTATTGTTTTTATTTCACGACTCACGTTCAAGAGAAATTATTTTGATCGTTAGTCAGAATACTAATTTTTTGTTGTCATTTTTATAATTCCATATCGTTAGTTTTTACAGAAACCGATTTAATGAGAATGAGGAACAGAATATCGTGTAACGATCAACAAGCAAACATTATGACGAACAAGCATTACCTAAAGCTAGAAATGTATTTCAGTTGATTACATTGATTACATAATGTAATTCAATTCATTGGATCATGATTTTAGGTCTAATATACATAATTTCGTTTTTTCCCGAGTAAATTATCTCACTCAATATAATGAATGATGAGGATATCAAAAAGTTATATGTATTTAATCTCGACGTACGCATCACCGCCTGAATAATAAAATAGACAACGTCAGAAATAAAAGTATGAGCAATAATGAAATTATCCGATAGTGCGATCACTTTATATATGGCGGAGCTACTACAATAACATAGATGATGATATTTTACATAGCCATAATCATACCATGCCGGTACTATGAAGAAAACGTCACATAGCCATACCATATAAGGACAATTTCATAATTAACGCAACATAACATAAAGCTAGACGAAGAAAACCGATCATATTTTATTACACCCATCTTTAATTATGATTAATTTGATAATCATAAATATTAATCAAGCATAGAATCGAATAGAATATAAGTGTCGGCGTTGAAGAAATAGGCCCATGGCCTGTTACCGATTCTTGTACTTTTCGTAACTTGATTCACAAGGGATCCGGCCTTTGGAACCCGATCTTTCCATAGCTGACGATTGATTGAGATAGCTGCTGGACTTATTGCCTGGTCCTATATTTTCAAAAAAAGTTAAGAGATTGTATGTTCATGAACCAATCATTGACGGCCTTTTAAGCAAAATCCACCAATCGTAGACAAGAAAATAGAGCGTAAGTACTTACGTTCACTTAGCGAATTTTGAAAGTATAAACCGTGGTCCGTAAGTTGCTAGGCATTTCAAGACTAAACATATGCTCCTGCATAGCATGAAACATTTTAATGTGAACGAACCTGGTGGTGAAGGTGGCGACTTTGGTGAGGGTGGCAGCGTCCCTGAGATGAACCTCGTCGGCGGCTGAGGTGACGATGGAGCCGCACTGTAGGACGTGTACCTTCAGGTCGACCAGCCGCTCGTCATGTACCTCCTGCAGGATATTCGTGCCCCGCCACGTCACCAGACGCCCGTCACTGTCTGGTGACGAAGGAGGCAGTGTTACTCTGAAGGTTCCTTCGTCCTAGTGACGAGGGGGGCAGTGTTACTCTGAAGGTCCCTTCGTCCTAGTGACGAGGGGGGCAGTGTTACTCTGAAGGTCCCTCCGTCCTAGTGACCAGGGAGGCAGTGTTACTCTGAAGGTCCCTTCGTCCTAGTGACGAGGGGGGCAGAGTTACTCTGAAGGTCCCTTCGTCCTAGTGACGAGGGGGGCAGTGTTACTCTGAAGGTCCCTTCGTCCTAGTGACGAGGGGGGCAGTGTTACTCTGAAGGATCCTTCGTCCTAGTGACCAGTCACCAGTCCTCGCGTTAACTGGACTGAATTATGTACAACTTCAATCCAGCGATTTCGATCTAATCCATTCAGCCGCCAGGAGCGGTACTATCAAATATAGTGAAGAGTTCGTAACTCAGTAAGCCAAACACTGACGGATTCTCATAGTAAACCCACAAGTCTCACAGACGAGAAATCGGCAGGTAAGTGCACTTAGGCCGCTACATGTACTTGGGTTGCTATGTGTGCTTGGGCCGCTACGTGTACTTGGGTTGCTAAGTGTACTTGGGCCGCTACGCGTGTACTTGGGCTGCTTCGTGTACTTAGGCTGCTACGTGTCCTTGAACCGCTATATGTACTTAGGCCGCTACGTGTAATTAGGCCGCTACGTGTACTCAGACCGCTACGTTTACTAAGGCCGCTACGTGTACTCAGGCCGCTACGTGCTCTTGGGCCGCTACGTGTAATAAGGCTGCTATGTGTACTTGGGCCGCTACGTGTGCTTAGGCCGCTACGTGTACTTGGGTCGCTACGTGTACTAAAGCTAGTTAATGCTTCGGTCTCTGAACTATAACATCACTAAAGTTCACCAACTTAACTTAAGTTCACTAACAACTTAAGTACACTAACTTAACTTAAGTTCACTAACAACTTAATTTCACTAACAACTCAAGTTCACTAACAACTTAAGTTCACTAACAACTTAAGTTCACTAACAACTTAAGTTCACTAACAACTTAAGTACACTAACTTAACTTAAGTTCACTAACAACTTAAGTTCACCAACAACTTAAGTTCACTAATAACTTAAGGTCACTAACAACTTAAGTTCACTAACTTAACTTAAGTTCACTAACTTAACTTAAGTTCACTAACTTAACTTAAGTTCAATAACTTAACTTAAGTTCACTAACAACTTAAGTTCACTAACAACTTAACTTCACCAACTTAACTTAATTTCACTAACAACTTAAGTACACTAACTTAACTCAAGTTCACTAACTTAACTTAAGTTCACTAACAACTTAAGTTCACTAACAACTCAAGTTCACTAACTTAACTTAAGTTCACTAACAAGCCACGATGAGGGTAGGTTGCTGAGCGACAGGTATCCAGGCTACGGTGGTAGCGCAGGCGACCTCGCGCGGTGCCTTCAACTCGCAGGGGGAGGGGGCGGTGTCAGTCCAGTTCCGCAACGAGACCTCGGGGGGGCGAGATATATTATTATAGCTTCTATAACTTAGGAATTATAATATAATGTTATACATAGAGATATATTATTATATCTGCTATAACTTAAGAGGATATATTATTATATCTGCTATAACTTAGGAGGTATAATGTAATATTATACCTCGAGATACTGTACAATGTTGTACCTCATATAATTTACGAGGTATAATATAATATTGTACCTCGAGATATGTTATGATATCTCCTATAACTTAGGAGGTATAATATAATATTATACCTCGAGATATGTTATTATAGCTCCTATAACTTAGGAGGTATAATATAATATTATACCTCGAGATATGTTATTATATCTGCTATAACCTAGGAGGTATAATGTAATATTATACCTCGAAATATATTATTATATCTGCTATAACTTAGGAGGTATAATATAATATTATACCTCGAGATATGTTATTATATCTGCTATAACCTAGGAGGTATAATGTAATATTATATCTCGAGATATATTTTGTACTTATTTCGACAAAAATTTCAATATTCAATGCTCCTTGTAAATTGAAAATGAATGATGTTTGTTGCATTCGAAACGTCGCTAAGAAACTAAAACTACTTCCTGAAATATGCCTTTTAATCTACCAACGTCATCTGAAAAATTGTCCGACTCTCCGATAATTTAAATCAACGAATTCTCTGGTCATTATTCGCACGCGTATTATACCTCCTTATACCTCTGTATAAGGAGGTATATACCATCTCCTTATACCCTCCTTGTACCCTTTTTGTGCAGTAGATGAGGAAAAATTATTATACATTATGTGCTGTTATTATTATTATTAAAATTGCAATCGTTATTTATAAGTTGTTATAATGCAGATCAAGTATGCAATATGTGCTGTTATTATTATCATTAATATTGTTATCGTTATTTATAAATTGTTATACTGCGGATCACGTATCTAATGTTTACACGGCATTACAATAATTTCAAATATAGGAGGAGCCAAAAATGGAATAATTTTTTTAAAAAGTGATACAAACACAACCATTCAAAATAAAATGTTTAAATTAATTAAGCTAAGTTGAATTTGATTCCTATTTTAGCATCTTTATATATGTATAATTCAAAAATTATTTTAAAAGTTTAAAATTGTTACCAATAAATTCAATTTTATTCAAATGATTAAACATTCATAAAAATTTCAAATTGTTTAATATATAATTTGTCAATAATTATTTAATTATATATAATAAAATACTATAATAATAAAAATTAACAGTTATCTTCATATTCATTTATGTATAAAAATTCAAATTTATCCATGACTGAACCTACAGCTCCATCTCTGCGTGCGAGGGCTACGGTGCTGCCGTCCGGCGACCAGTCACACGACAAGAGTTCGCTGTTCAGCTCCCTGCATGCAAGAGTTATATATTAAATAATACATATATATACATATATATAAGAGTTATATATTAAAAGCTATATATTAAATATATTTAATTAAAATTAAATATATCAGTTATATGTTAAATATATAAGTTGAGGCACTTCTGGTAGTTTTTATAGATTTAATAGGTACGAATAATCATATATGAATAATATAGGTAATATGAATGATTCGAATAACATGAATAATATGAACAATAATAATCTAAGTCGCTATAGATTACCGTCAGCACGGCATTGCCAGGATAGAAAGTCCCGGAAATTTAAGAATACCTACAGTTATTTCGAATCCCGTCTCACAGAATTCATTTAAAAAATTTTAAATTTAGTTACTTTAGTCATATTCAGTAGTCAACTCATATTCAGTAAGGATATCTCATTTAACAGTTGTTTAAATTTAAGAGAAACTCGTATTTTTTCATTATTAATAAATTTTTCACTTACCGCCTTAAAAATCGTACTTTTTTAGCCCAGCTCATACTCCGCTTCTTTATAATTCAATTTTTCACAATATCACTCTTAAAAAATCAACCCCCCCCCTATATAATCCTAATGCGGTGAGTATCCTAGATACGAGCCCGAACAGTCCCGAACATTAAAGCGAGTGTCAGGTTCGAGACCCGCGGGAAGCTGCAAAGATTCTGCAATGCCTGTAAATAACGACAGGCCTTATCTCTTATCTGCCGCCACCGCAGCAGTGCGTAATTATTTCAATATTTATTCCATTTCATTTAGATAGGTAGTAATTTAGGCCTATAATGAGGAAAATTGACTTGTAAAATATTGTATTTATATTTTAAAAGTCCCAGGTTCGATTGTACTTTGATTTTAACTGTAATATTACGATGCGAACATACTGAAAAAATATAACTCGGTACTCACTGCAGTCTGTGACAGAGAGCGTTGCAGTGAAATTCAACTGGATAACGTCAATGACACATAAGTCGCCACTCAGCAGAAACTGTACATAACTCGTAGCTCGTCATTAAAACCTTATAATTTTGATCAAAACTGCGATTTGTAGGGTTTGGTATCCTCATGGTAACTACTAAGCTGTTTTGATCGCGCTAGATAGAGGTAGTTCGATTTTATTTATTAAAAAGATAGTTTCCTGGAAAACCTGCAACTTTGTGCAGCTGGCAAGGCTTTTGGCATTGATGGTAGATGAAAAACATAACTCAGTACTCACTGCAGTGAGTGACAGAGAGCGCATTTTCTCGTCGACGAAAACATGAAGTCACGGACTGACAGACAAACGGACGGACATGACGAGCACAATAGGGCATTTTTTTATAAATGAGAAAATGCACTAAAAATACTCACTCGGTATCTTTGAGTTTGAAGCGCCCCTCTGCTGTCGGGGTGGCGTTAGGCTTGTATTGTCGTAGCCTAGCGTTCGTTGTAAGCATGGACGAAACTGATGCAGTTGATGACGTTGATTGGTTCCTCTTCTTGCCGAAAAATTTATCTCTTGTCAATATTGTGCTCACTTTGCTAGCTGCCAATAACGCACTTGGCATTCCTGGTGATTGAGTTGAAGTCATCATTCAGAATTGTCTGGGTAATAATATATACAAAGGTTAGGTAATTTTTTTTTAGTATATTTCTTTGCTTATCGAGCTTGCTTGAAAAGTATATTAATTCAAGAAATAGTTAAAAAAACCTTTCACAGTTACTTAGGACGTATTTGTTTCCTTATTTCGTTTTACAGGTGTGTGAAATAAAGTTTTCTTTGAACTAACCACTCTACACTCGAGTTGCCTGGTTACCCTGAATCAACTCGTCTCCATGGCAACGACCATATGCTGGAATGAGTTTCAATCTAAAAAGGGCGATATTATTTGAACAATTTCTAATATTTCTTTTTTGATGTTGTCAAAAATGTTGATCTAAAGTAAAACACAATCAAACTTTGAAGTCCGGCAGTATTTAAACTATATACACATTATTTAAATTAATTCAATAATAATACTTTCATTTCTAAAGATTTCACGCAACATCTATATGAGATAGATGAAAAAGCGCTATTCAGTCCATGAACCACTATGTTTTGCTATTTTTTTGAGCACTTATACCAGTTTATACTCGAAAAAGATTGGTTATTGTTCCATCTTCTAGCTAGAGGTTTTCCCTTTGAATTTGGACGTTGAACAATCTAGGGTTGGGGGTTAAATGATTACTGATGCAGTAAGCGAGAAAACGTTCAGCTGTCTGTTCGTTTTGGTATGTTAACTCGTCGATCCTAATCTATTCTTGTTCATGGCTCTAGACTGGGATAAAGTGAGCGAGAGTTCTAAGCAGAAGGTATTTCTTTTCAATTTGCGTAGAATTAATAATAAAGAAGGTTACTTAAGTAATATTTATAGTTTTATTCCTACATTGTGGTGGTTGTGCAGCTTGTGCTTTACGTGACTAACGTGAGAAGTTCAGAGGAGATTGATATGGCAAATATGCTGATATCCATTATCTGAAAGTGTTAACACTTAACAGTATGATAGTAGTAGTAGTTCGTGATCTGAATTCTGAATAACTGTGAAGTCCCCAGATGCTCTGACTCTGAGCACTTCTCTTATTTAGTGCTGTCACGACTGTCGACTGAGCCAAACTACCTACAACTTTCTAGGTACACGCTTGCAACTTGCAAGTTGGAACTTGCAACAGTTGCACATGCAATCATATGTTGACAGTTTGACTGATTCATTGATTGCATCATTGAACTTATAAGTACACCCACCGTCCCACGTGATTATGAATCATTTTTAGTGTATTTAATTATTGAAATAAACAAATTTTTTGGGCATTTGTTCCCTTTATTTAACAGTGTGGAAATCCAGAGGGGTAATATATTAACTGGTAAACATAGCTAATTGGAAAGCAGGACCCAAAAATCTGGAACGTCCAGCACACTTCCACTTTCAGTCCATCGTCATCACTGATGAGTCTCTGCAAGATACCACAGCTGTTTCTTTGAAAAAAAAACAGTGCTTGCATCATCACAGTAACAAGAATCCAATCAACGCTTGAACGCGTCCAAGTCCAACGTAACCGTCACAAGAATCCAATCAATGCTTGAACGCGTCCAACGTCACAGTCAAATAAATCCAATCATTGCTAGAACGTGTGCAACGCCAGTCACAAGAATCCAATTACCATCAGAACGCGTGCAACGTCACTGCCACTGGAATCCAAACAGCGTTAGAAAGCTAGAAAGGACCGCCCCAAATGCACACATTGTTAACGCACTAATGCTAATTTAATGGGTAATGCTACATTTCTTATTTCAAGCGCCTAAAACAATAATGTAGTTATGTCACTATTGATGAAAATCGCAAAGAATAACATCTTTACTTTGCATAGTGGAATTCTATGAAGAGAGGTACTTATGGCGGTCCAGCGCCATGCGGCGGTCTTAACCCTTCATAAGGCCCCATGCCCTTGGCCCTTGGGCCTCTCTTGCAAGTTGCAATGGTCTAAACTCAACAGTTTGACAATCGACCCCATGGTCTCATCACAACTCCCTTTAGAAATATGTGGAGTTTCTAGATTAATAGTCATAAATCAATAAATATTTGAACTGGGAAATTCCTTAGTTACTTACGTTGGTTCCAGAATGATATCAATGACGTAAAAAATGACAATGACATTGGTTAAGCCACAGCCATGATTCTAGACTTCTAGCTCTGCTCAGTCCTTACACTTTTACCTCATAATTCATGATGTTAGAACTTTGATGTTCAAATGTTGACACTACTGTCAAGTGTCAATATCACAATCAAAATTAATTCACAATCAGAAATATGTTATAATATCACAATCAGAAATATGTTATAATATCACAATCAGAAATATGTTATAATATCACAATCGAAAATATTATTCACAAATAACCATTGATTTCAATGCAAAACTGGTCCCATCTTCACTACTGTGGCTTTGTTGATATGGCTAGCGGTGACGTCACACACAACACGTAGTAGCTACATCGACTGTGAAAAAAAATGCAATATTTCACTGTACCACAAACAAATAAATGTAAATAATTAGTAATGTAAAATGTGTTTCTGCAACATTTTGAGAGACTGTGCCTAAGCAGAATAATATATTGTTATTATTATAGTTATGTAGTATATATATACTAAACAATAAAATAGTTCCTTTGGTTGCCACTGCTGGCGCTAGCATCTGGATGCGGAAGCATAACCTTGGTTTAGAATTCAAACAATTTAATATCTTACTGCGCCACAAGTTAATACATTTAAATAAATAGTAATGGAAAATATGTTGCTGGAACACCTTAAGAGACCGGACCTAAATAGAATACGATATTATATTTTTAGTCAAGATACTAACAATAAAGTAGTTCCTTTCATTGCCGCTGCTAGCGCTGGCATCTGTATCACTGTAGCCTGTATGTGAACCTTCTATGAGTAATATTAATTCAGCATGGAATTATGGAGATATAACTTCTATGATTAATTTGAATCATAAAAATTAACCTAATGCAAGAAATTAGCAATCAATAATTCAATGTTGTTTTGTAAGTTTTGTACCAACGGAACTACAGAAAACTACATTAAATACGTATTGGCAACTTAAGCTAAAAAAATGCACTGCAACTGCAATCAGCTGTGAGAGAAGGTGCCAAAAAGTGTGATGGATTCAATTTAGTCATTTTTGATTTGAAATCAGTCTCAGTTCTTTGGACTAGGAGCGTAAATTTCAGTGTAAAACCTATTAAAAAATTACATTTCTGCGTGGATTTTGATGCTGTTAGCATTGAAATACTTGAAAGTATCTCTGATGCAAGAAATACTGACTAAATACATTTTAATTTAGAAATTAACATCAATCGAAATTACTGTTGTTCAGGGCTATGTTGGTTCTTGCGAACCGATTGTTGCATCCAGTCGCTTATATTGAAAATAAAATTATTTAAGCAAGTATTTCTTGCACCAGAGATAATTCAAAGTTTGTTATGTTAACAGCTTTATAATCCATGCAGAAACGTACATTTTTTGCATAGATACTAAAAATTTAGGCTCTATGACTTGTATACTATGCGTATAGGATTTCAAATCGATGCATGCATTCAAATTCAAAAAAGGCCCACCCACGGCCAGTGTAGCTGTCAGCTCACCTCTCTTCAGAAGTGTGAAAGCTTTTGCCGGTGAAGGTGTGTTTTATGATCGGTCCGTAAAGAAGCGTTGATCGGTTCAAAATGACATAAGACCAGGTTCTTTTGAATAACCTATAGAATTGCACCATGT